GTGATGATGATGATGTTGCTGCTGCTGATGATGATGTTGATGATGCTGCTACTGATAATGATGGTGATCCTGATGATGCGTATTGTCATGCTTATGATGCTGCTGCTGATGCTGCTGCTGATTTTGATGATGATGATGACGATGGTGATGTTGATGCTGGAGGTGGTGATGATGACGATGATGATGCTACTGATGATGGCCATGGTGCGGGTGATGATGATGCTGCTTTTGATACGCTGATGATGATGGCGATTGTGATGCTGATGCTGGAGGTGGTGACGATGACGATGATGCTGCTGATGATGACCACGGTGCGGATGATGATGACGATGCTGGTGATGATGCCGGTCCATATTTTGCTGCTGATGATGCTGATGCTGATAATGATGCCGACGATGCTGCTGCTGCTGCCGTTGCTGCTGCCGATGCTGAGGATGATGACGATGACGATGATGATGAGGGTGTCGATTCGGATTATGATCATTCTGATGATAATGGTGGTGGCGATGTTGATGTCCTTGATGATGATACTGCTGCTTCTGGTGCTGCTGCTGATGTTCATCATGATGATGCTGATGAGTCTGATGAGCATGGTGACGATGATGATGATGATACTGATGGGAATAACGATGGCGATGACGATGATGCTGTTGTTGTCGATGCTACTGATTACGACGATGATGCTGCTGCTGATGATGATCGTGATGATGGTGGTGATGATGATGAGGATGAGTAGTATGATGGCGTGGAATTTGTTCAGGAGGGGGAATCCGACAATACGTAAAGGACTGAGAGGAGAGGCGGACGGGGAGGAGGAAAACGATCAGGCAGAGGAGGAGGATGAGATGATGATGAGGAGGAGGAGGAGGAGGAGAAGGAGGAGGAGGAGGAGGAAGAGGAGGAGGCGGAGGAGGAGGAGCAGGAGGAACGTCAGGAAGAAAAGCAACGGCAGGAGGAACGTTGATTGAATGAGGGGAAGGAGGTAGTGGAGGAGGAGGGGAGGAGTTGGAGGCGGAGGAGGAGGAAGAGGAGGAGGAGGAGGAGGAGAAAAAGGAGGTTATACAGGTATTTGCGGGTCACCAGCGCGAAAGACGATGCGCATGGAGGAAGCGGAGGAGGAGGATAGCGATGATGATGCTGATGCTGATGATGATGATGATGATGATGCTAATGATATGCTGATGACGATGCTGCTGCTGATGGTGCTGCTGAAGCTGATGATGATGTTAATGATGATGGTAACGATGATGCTGATGACAATGTTGATGATGCTGCTGATGATGATGATGAGGAGGATGCGGAGGAGTTTGAGGAGGAGGAGGAGGAGGAGGAGGAGGACGAGGAGAAGAGGAGGATGATGAGGAGGAGGATGCGGAGGAGGAGGAGGAGGGTGAATAGGGTGACGAGGATGAGCCAGATTCACGAACGATTGGAGACTCCCGGTTTTCAGGTTTTCGCCTTGCCCATGATCGTCAGACACGGGAGTTCGAACCTGTGCTGATGCTTGGTGGAAGCTGCCATGCTTCTTAGTGCTAGCGTAAATCTCCCTCTGATGCATACCCGTACAGATTGTATTGGATTCAAACGGTGTCGAGTACAAGTTCCTCGCCGCCGCGAGTTGCCTCAATCCCAGCGGGGCTGGCCGCAGGGCCAGCGGTGCCGTGCGAGGGCCGTTGCCGTGCGGCGATCGGCGCTGCGGCCAGCGAGTTGCGAGGGAGGTGGCCGATGAATGACGGCACTCCGCCGCGCCCTGGGGCCTCAAGGACGGGTTGTCGCTGCGATGTTTCCTTCCTTCCCAGAAGGCTTGGGCGGGGATGGCGAACCGGTGCAGACATATGCATTTGTATTTCCCATATCACGGTGGACGCGGGCGGGCAAGGACAATATTCCACAGTGTGCTAGGGCGTCGGGCCCCTGGCTCTTGTTGCGCACTGTCCCGCATCGGAGTGCGATGTGTTGTCCCACTTGTTTCGGCTTCCGCGAAGCGCCCCAAATGACCCGAGAGGGCGCCCATACGGCCTCAGATGGCCCCAGGAGTTTCTTCAAGACAAGGTTCCTCCATAACATCCAAGAGCGGCCCAATAGGTCCTCCATGACATGCAAGAGGCTCACCACATATCCTCCAGAGAATCTGCAGGACGCCGAAGCAGAGGCCCAGGCAGGTAACACTATACTGCTGCTCTGATTCTCTGTTCAGCAGGACCTCCATGGGCTTCGAGAAGGGCTCCAAGGCGACCCAAGGGTAGCCAAGGAGCGCCCCCACGCAGCCTGAAATGGCCGCGCGAGGACCCCGATGGCCCAAGGGTGCCTGCCCAGCAGACCCCCGATATGACCAACCAGCACACCAGTGATGCCCGAGATAGCCCCCTGGGAAAAATGGGTCCGAGAGGCCCCCTGGCCCCGACAGGTCCCCAAGAGGCGTCGAAGACGGCCCAAGGACACCCCAGGGGAGCCACCAGCCAGCCCAAGAGGAACCCAGAACGGCTCCAAAGAAATCGAGGCCGTGGCGGCAGCAACCAGCGGTGCTCGGTTCTAAGGAAGTCCACCCAAATCTCTTTCAAACAGCACAGGTGTTCGGACGCACGCGCGTAACAGGGATGCTGCTGAGGACGGCGTCGACGGCAACGGCGGCGGTTAACAACGAACATCAACGACACCGACGACATGACAAACTAGTAGCTTTGTGTCTGCACAGCGCTACGGGCTGCGCTGGAACCTACGTGCTCGCGCACGAAGAGCGCGTGTGTGGTTCTATTATCGAAGACGCTTTCGGCGAACCACCGCCGCCCCCTGTCTTCCGGAAACGCCTCTGTTGCCAAACGTGGGGCAAAAGCCAGGCCCAGCCATCATTGTGTGTTCCCCCCGGAAGTTGTGGAGACCCTCGGGGGAACACTTGGGGAGGAGGAGGCGAGGATGAGGACCATGATGAGCATGAGGATGAGGATGAGGATGGAGATTATGCTGCTGATGCTGATGCTGATGCTGATGCTGCTGCTGCTGCTGCTGATGATGATGATGATGATGATGATGATGATGATGATGATGATGATGAGAAGGAGGGGGGGGAGGAGAAGGAGGAGGAAGAGGAGGAGGAGGAGGAGGAGGATGAGGAAGAGGAGGAGGAGGACAAGGAGGAGGAGGAGGGGCAGGCCTCTTGGGGCCTTCTGAGGGCTTCGTGGGGACCTCTCGGGGACCTGTGAGGGGCCTTTCTGGGGCCACGGGGCTCTCTTGGGGGTCTCCTAGGCCATCTTCGGACTCTCTTGGGCCGTTGGATGCTTTCGGAAGATGTCTTGGGTGCCTGTCTGGGTCGTCTTGGGGCTCTCTTGGGGCGCATTCGGGCCGTATTGGAGGTCTCTTTGGCAGACTTGGGGCCGTCTCAAGACCGTCTTTGGTGTGCTTGTTGGGCCATGAGGATGATTACGTTGGTGATGGTGGTGGTAATAGTGATGATGATGATGATGATGATGATGGTGGTGATGGTGGTGGTGATGATGATGATGATGATGGTGATGATGATGATGATGATGATGAGGACGATGATGATGATGATGATGATGATGATGATGATGATGATGATGATGATGATGATGATAACGGCGAGGACGGCGACGACGACGATGTTAATGACCATGAGGATGAAGATGGTGATGACGATGTTGATATTGATGTTGTTGATTCTGATGTTGAAGATGATAATGTTGATGATGACTATGCTGACTGCACAGGCCTGGCACTTGGTTCCGCCATCCCTTAGAACAGAACAGGCTGGGGGCGAGATGCGGAAAGGGGAACGGGGGCAAGAGACAGTGGCGGCCTTTCTGCGAGGGCGGAAATTTCGTGGCCTTCGGCCCATCCCGCCACTGCACTTGGGTTGTGCTCCGGAGGTCTTGGGGTCATTTTTGGGGTGCCTTGGAAGGCCTCTGTGGGGGCTGCTGAGGGCTTTTGTGGTCCATTCGGATTCCTCTTGGCGCCTCTTAAAAACTCTTGGGGGCCTCTAGGGGGTCTTTGGACAGTCTCGGTCTCGGTGGCCTCTCGTGGGACTCTGGGGGGCCTGGGGGGGCGTCTGGGGTCGTCGGAAGCCCGACCAGGTGATAACGACAACATCATTCAAACACTTTTAGCGGAATCATGTATTTTTGTCTCTTGGGGCCCTCTTGGGGGATCTCTTAGAGCTTCTTGGGCGTCTTGGAGCGATCTTTGGGTGACTCGGGGCCCTCTTGAACCGTCTTGGGGGCCTCTCGGGGCTTTCTTTGCCCGTCTCGGGGGGCCGCCTGGCATCAGGACGGGTCCTGCGACAAGCCCCAAGTTGTCAGCGGGAAGCCCCGGAAGCGCCAAGGAGCGCCCAGAACTTTGGGCCGTGGGCCCCTTCAGGAGCATTACGACACAGTTCCGAGGACCGGAGGCCCTGAGGACACTCCACTTCGTGCCTCGGGGCACGGTGGCTGACTAGAGATGCTCCAACTCCTCCTCTTCCTGCCACTGTCTGGACTCTCGCTACGATCACGACTGCCATGATGGGACTGCCATCCTATTGTTTGGGGCCCACGTGCTGTCATCATTTTTCCCCCCTGCTGATGTGAGGGTGGGCGGCGTAGCCATGCAGAGGAGGATGACCAGCCCCACGGGGATCGAACAGAGCACAACACGCCCTTCCCGGGCGCCTCGTGGGGACGAGACCGCTGGCTCGGTGAGCCCGAGCAGGCGGGGGCGCGCTGCTTACGCTTTTTCGGGGGCTTGCGCCCCCCGGTGTGTGCAAGCAGAGGCGTGCTGAGCAGTGCTGCACACCTTCCGGGGCCCCCGGGAGCAAAAAGAGACGCGCCCTCCCCGGGCGGCCGCTGACGGGCGTCGCCGCGCGGCGAGGCTCCTCGGGGGCCCCCGAGCGGTGCGTCGGCCACGCCGCGCGGTGTGGCCGCGCGGTCTTGCTGGGCCTCGGGCCGCTCTCCGAGGCCGCCTGCAGGCGCCCCGGGCCTCCGCGGCCCCCCCCTTTCCCCGCTCCCCAGGCGGCGATGCAGGCGGAGCTCCAGAGGCTGCGCGCCCTGGAGCAGGAGCAGGCCGCGGCCTCGCCGCCTCGCCTCGCGCGCGGCCTGGGGCGAGGAGAGCGGTGGGCGTCAGGAGGCTGAGGTGGAGGAGGAGGAGGAGGAGGAGGAGGAGGAGGAGGAGGAGGAGGAGGAGGAGGAGGAGGAGGGAGGGATTTCTTATCACAGCTGCGGCATCCACGCTTTACCATTTCTTGAGAGGCCTGAATCACGGTGCTCCGATCCGCCGAGAGCGGGCAATTCAAGCCGTCCCCACAGTGAGATGGCAGCTGCGCCGTGCCTGGTGCCGCTGAGGTGAACGGTGAACTCATTCCGATGGCTACGTGCGATGAGGAGGAGGGAGGGAGGGAGAGGGGTGAAGGAGGGAGGAGGATCAGAGTGGAGGGTGAGGGATGAAGGGATGAGGGATGAGGGATGAGGGATAAGGAGTGAGGAGTGAGGGATGATGCTGATGCTGCGGATGATGAGGGTGCTGATGATGAGGATGCTGATGATGAAGATTGCCATGCTGATGATGGTGATGATGGTTACGCTGTTAATGCTGATGATGATGATGCTGATGATGATGCTGATGATGATGATGATGGCTATGATTGTCATGATAATGGTAATGATGCTGCTGCTGATGATGATGCGGCTGATGATAATGAGGACTGTCATGATGATGCTGGTGGTTACGATGATGAAACTGATGACGATAACGATGCTGATAATGATGCGAGGAAGATGAGGAATATTGCAATGACGATAGTGGTGTTGATGACGATGCTGATGCTGCTGATGATGATGGCGATGACGATGACGACGACGATGATGATGACGGTGATAAGGATGCTGATTATCATGATTGTGCGGGCGATGATGATGACAATCATGATGATGATGCTTGTCATGGTGACGATGATGACGACGATGATGATGATGATGATGATGATGATGATGATGATGATGATGCGGGTGATGCAGATGGCTGTCATGATTATGACGATGATGAGGATGTGCTGGTGTTGATGATGATTCTGAGGACTGCGGTGATGATGATGATGCTGCTGATGATCCCGGTGATGGTGATGATGGTGATGAAGTTGATGACGAGTATGCTGATTTATGATGATGCTGATAACAATGATGAGGAAAATGGTGATACTGATTATTGAGATGATGATTGTGGTGTTGATGACGATGATGATGCCGCTGCAGCTGTTGAGGATGACGACGGTGATGACGACAACGATGATGATCATGATGCTGATGCTGATCATGACGATGATGATGATGCTGGTGATGATGGTAATGGTGATGGTGATGGTGATGATGCGGAGGAGGAAGAGGCGGAGGATGATTACGATTTTGAGAATGTCGAGGATGATGGTGATGATGGTGATCATGGGGCTGACGACGACGCCGATGGTGATGTTGATGATGCTGATGGTGATGGCGGTGGTGGTGGTGGTGGTGGTGTCTGTGGTTCTGATGGGGACTCTTAGGATGGTGATTCTGATGATGCTGATCATGATGATGAGAATGACGATGGATGATGGTGATGAGGATGACGATGATGATGGTGATACTGATGTTGCTGATGATGACGACGTGATGATGGTGACGACGATGGGGATGGGGATGATAATGATGATGATGATGGTGATGCTGCTGATTTTGTAGTTGATTATAATTTGGGTGGAATGGATCATGCGGAGGATGTTGTGTAGGATGCGGTATACAAGGGTAGTTCGTTTTTGTTTTGGGTGTTCTTTGAACCTCATCGATGCCATCCCGTCTTCTTGGCCGAACGAGGAGGAAGGTTCGAACTTCGATGTTCCAGTTTCCTGGTCTCCGTTGCTTTGGCGTTTCTGTCGCCACGCTTGTTCTTCATGGCGACCATCTGGATGGAGGACTGCCGTGAAGAAAAGGGGTCGTGGAGGGAGGGGCCTCGAGTTGTTTTCAACCATCCTGTGGTGTTTGGTCTTCGGTTTAAAGAGACAGCGCCCCGCGTCTCCCTCACTCCTCCCTCGTCTCCCCTCCTCCCTCCATCATCATCATCATCCTCCTCCTCCTCCTCCTCATCATCATCATCATCATCATCATCATCATCATCATCATCATCATCATCATCATTATCATCAACGTCACCATCATCATCATCATCATCATCACCATCACCATCATCATCATCATCATCATCCTAATCCTCATCCTTATCTTCCTTCTCCTCCTCATCCTCATCCTCATCCGCCTCCTCATCATCATCATCATCACTATCCCAATCCTCATCCTCAGCCTCACAGTCATCCTCATCCTTTGCCTCATCCTCATCCTCATCATCGTCTTCATAACCATCATCAGCATCAGCATCATCATCCTCATCTTCATCTTCATGTTCGTCTTCTCCACCATCTGCATTTTCGTCTGCATCTTCATCTTCATCTTCATCTTCATCATCATCTTCACCTTCGCCTTCATCATCATGTGCATCATCATCACCATCATCATCAGCATCATCATCATGCTACTCATTTCCCTCATCATCACCATCATCACCGTAATCATCATTACCATCACCATCGCCATCACCATCGCCATCATCATCATCATCGTCATCATCATGATCATCATCATCATCAGCATCATCATCATTATCACCATCATCATCAGTATCATCATCATTATAGTCCTCATCATCCTCCTTCTCCTCATCACCATCAGCCTTATCCTCATCCTCCTCCTCCTCCTCCTCGTATTCATCCTCATTCTCATCCTCATCCGGATTCTCATGCTTGTCCTCATCCTCATCCTCATTCTCATCCTCATCCTCATCCTCATCCTCATCCTCATCCTCATCCTCATCCTCATCTTAATCCTCATCTTCCTTCTCCTCCTCTTCCTCAGCAGCAGCAGCATCAGCATCACATCGCATCGCAAACATCGACGTCAGCACCATCATCGTCATTATGATCGCAGGCGCACCCCTCACACGCACCCCCCACACGTTTCGTGGCCCCATAGGGAGCTCCACTGGAGGCCCCAGTGGCGCAGCCCGCATGCGTCCCAGCCGGCCATTTCGGCACACCCCTCACACGTTTCGTGGCGCTCTAGGGAGCTCCACCGAAGGTCCGAGTTGCGCAGCCCGCATGCGTCCCAGCCGCCCATGTCGGCACACCCCTCGCAAGTTTCGTGGCCCCATAGGGAGCTCCACCGAGGGCGCCCAGTGGCGCGGCCCGCATGCGTCCTAGCCGCGTATTTCGGTACACCCCTCACACGCTTCGTGGCTCTCTAGGGAGCTCCACAGAAGGCCCGAGTTGCGCAGCCCGCATGCGTCCCAGCCATTCATTTCCGGACACCCCCCACACGCTTCGTGGCCCCATAGGGAGCTCCCCCGACGGCGTCAGTGGCGCAGCCCGCATGCGTCGCGGCCATTCATTTCGGCACACCCCTCACACGTTTGGTGGCTCTCTAGGGAGCTACACTGGAGGCCCCAGTGGCGCAGCCCGCATGCGTCCCAGCCGCGTATTTCGGTACACCCCTCACACGTTTCGTGGCCCCATAGGGAGCTCCACCGAAGGCCCCAGTAGCCCGCATGCCTCCCAGCCACACAATGCGGGTACATCCGCCCTCCCCCCCACCCCTTCACAAATACGATACCGAGGAACTCCACACATGTAATTTGAATCTTATGTTTTCGCTTGTCATCACCATCTATGAGCATTCCTGCGTTCTGAACCCTCGTCGCGAATGTGGCACCTCTGCCTCCCTTTCCCACTTCGGTCGGGGGCAAGGAGGATGAGCAGGAGTGCAGAAGTGAGAGGAAGGGATATGGAACAGAGGAGGGAGGAGCAACGTTTGAATTTTTTTCCTCGTTCTCAGCTGGGTCCGCGCTACTGCGCGCGCGCTGCGGTTGAGTAATCATTTATCTCTTCGACGGAAAGTCTCCGAGTTCCGCATGAGGCGGCTGAGGAAGACACGAGGATAAGCCCTTCGACGGAAAATCTCTGGGAGCGCCCTTCGATGGAAAATCTCGGGGCGGCTGCGACAAACGAAATGAGCCTGCGTCGAAATTATGGCCAGCCCTGATGGGCGGGGCGCTTTCACTCATGCTTCAGCGTTGCATCGACGCGGCCAGTGCCGCGATGGAAGATTGCTGTTCTCGCGTGAACCATCGAATGAGTTCTTCCGTCTGCCATGACTCCCTCCCCCATTTGCCCATCCAAACACCATCTTCCATGCGAAGGAGAAAGCAACAGTAACGAACGAGCAGCATCAGTTCCGCCTTGCCGTTGACCAAAGTTTGGAGATGAAGCTGCATCTTCGAACGCTGGCAATAAGCATGAGCTTCACGCTGCGCGCCGGAGCCCACCAGCAAGTATTGCTCCCAACAGCAATGAAACAGGCGCAGTCCTTGGACTACCCTTGGTTCGGACGTCATAGTGCAGATGAAGCCATGAGAACTTCGACGTTTTCTCATGATGGCCCCTGTCGTTGCTGATTGGGTCGGCCCCCCTGGCACACAGCAGCTGGAGCCAAGAAGGCATCGGAATGGCGTCATGGAATGGCGTCCTGCAACAGACGTTGATGCAATCTGGCCAAGGCTGCGGAGGCGTAGTATCGAATGCGTGTCGTTATCGCCAAATTCGTAATCGTCCTGGACGAGAGCAACCATGCCCGTGACGTGCACGTCGAATTCTGCGATGAGAAGCATTGCCACTTTTTCTGCCCTGGCGTGGGCTGCCCTTTCCAAGCCTTGCTGGACATAGGTGACGTTCACGTTCCATCTCAGCTGTTTACGAACCTGGCGGACATTGTGATGGAGTAGTAGACCGCATGTCGTGGCGAATTTGCGAGATTGTAGGATCTCCTTGTGAGGCTTAGAGCTTAGCGCTAGCTCCGCCGAACATGTCAGGCTGCAAAGCGAGCAGACGAAGGGTGGGCACATTCATTCTGTAGGTTCCATCATGTGTAGAATACTTGTTGAGCGCCCTCCACAGATCGACATCGTCGCCCGTCCTCGACGGCCGGTA